TGTTTTTTTATTTTTTTTTGGAATTCCCCTCACAATTCTGAATTTACATCTTGAAAATCAGATTTTTTTTGGGGGGGGGGGAATTCACCTCAGAATTCTGAATTTACATCTTGAAAATCTGATTATTTTTATTTTTTTTGGAATTCACCTCAGAATTTACATCTTGAAAATCTGATTTTTTTTTTTGGAATTCACCTCAGAATTCTGAATTTACATCTTGAAAATCAGATTTTTTTTTTTGTTGGAATTCACCTCAGAATTCTGAATTTACATCTTGAAAATCAGATTTTTTTTTTTTTTTGGAATTCACCTCAGAATTCTGAATTTACATCTTGAAAATCAGATTTTTTTTTTTTTTTGGAATTCACCTCAGAATTCTGAATTTACATCTTGAAAATCAGATTTTTTTTTTTTTTTGGAATTCACCTCAGAATTCTGAATTTACATCTTGAAAATCAGATTTTTTTTTTTTTTTGGAATTCACCTCAGAATTCTGAATTTACATCTTGAAAATCAGATTTTTTTTTTTTTTTGGAATTCACCTCAGAATTCTGAATTTACATCTTGAAAATCAGATTTTTTTTTTTTTTTGGAATTCACCTCAGAATTCTGAATTTACATCTTGAAAATCAGATTTTTTTTTTTTTTTGGAATTCACCTCAGAATTCTGAATTTACATCTTGAAAATCAGATTTTTTTGTTGTTGTTTTTGGAATTCCGATTTACATCTGACTTTCTCTCAGAATTCAATTTTTTTGTTTTTGCCACACAATAGAAAAATTAAAAAGCTAACTGACTTTTTATCTCACAATTCTCAAGTTTATATCCCACAATTTTGACTTTTCTTCTCAGTTTTACATCTCGCATTTGAGTGTTTATGTCTCAGAATGTTCTCAGAATTGTGAGGGAAAAAGTTTGAATCGTGAGATATAAACACAATTACAATCACAATTTTTTTATTCCGTGGCAGAAATAAGCTTCCATACTGACATTTAACTTGCCATTTGCAGAGAAATTCAGAGTCATCCATTAAACACATGATGGCAGAGTTCATAGCTTGAACCCTCAAATCTAGTGTTCCTCAGTTCAGAAAAATATTGGCACACATTTTATGTTTTTTGAATTCTAGAAAGATTTGTATTTGAAGAAGTCCTGCGTTGTTTTCGCTCTTAGTCGGAACATAAAAAGGTTGATATTCCAACGTCCTGTAGGTTCTTCCAAATCTTTTAAAACCAGTTCATTACCAGTTTGACAAAGATGTGAATGCTTACTAGTTGGAAACTCATAATTACGGTAATTCCAACAATAGAATCAGTTCTAAAGCAGTGCTAGAACTTCATCTGAAGGCACTGCACCGTCATGTGCAATACACATACACCACACTAAGGCGCATTGTTTCCCAGCATGCTTTGTGCACCAGTGATTTCTGTGCACATTAATGGTTTACAGCTTTGAATGGACAATCCTCCAGAAATCTTTTCTATGCAAGTGTCAAGAGAAGTGCCATGTGAGTCTCTTTCTGTCACCACCAGCACTTATGTAATGGATGCTAAACCATCGAACACAAGTTATGGTCCTTGTACCATGATGCATCGCACTCCGTATTATAGATAATAACTGTTGCATGACTGACAATCGCTGTCTTACGGCACGAATACAGTGTTTACATATCATATTTAATTTGATGAGAGTGAAAACATGTCATCAATAGGTGGTTTTGTCTTTTTTCAACTGGAAATGTTTTGGAAATATATTGTTAAATTTGTCAGCCTTGTTTTCATTCGTGACACATTAAATATGACGTCTACCCTCAGGTCTGTTGCTTTAGTTAAACAGCTTCTTCATGTTAAAAATGACCTTTAAACTCCATTAAAAGCATCTTCAGAATATACATTTGTGACTCATATATATATATACATATACATATACATATGTGATGTCACAGCACAATCTTGGATTCTATTGGCTAAGCCTAAATTCATATATATGAACATGCGGCACCTAATTTTGAGCAGCAAAACAAGTTTAGCACGAGACAAAACATATAGAAAATAACTACTAAGATGTCTATGAACAAATATTAATATTATGCTACAAACATGTACACTATCATTCAAAAGTTTGAGGTTGGTAAGATTTTTTGTTTTTATAGAAGCCTCTTCTGCTCACCAAGGCTGCTTTTATTTGATTATAAATGCAGTTAAAAACAGTACATTTGTGAAATATTATAATAATTTGAAGTAACAGTTTTCTATGTGAATATATGTTAAACTGTAATTTATTTCTGTGATCAAAGCTGAATGTT